TCGTCGAAGAAATCCGCGCAGGAGCAGCCCTCCGGGAAGCCCGGCTGAAGCAACAAGTAGCACTTCGCCATAACCACAAAGTCATAAAACGCGATTTTCAAACTGGAGACTTAGTTCTACGCAGAAATCAAAAGGACTCCCACGAGGGCAAACTGGCGGCGAACTGGGAAGGCCCATACCGAGTCCGGGACAAAACGGAACACGGGGCCTATTACCTCGAAAACCGGCACGGTGAACAACTAGCCCGACCATGGAACGCCGCGAAGCTTAAGCGGTACTACAGTTAACACATTGCCCGCGACGACCAATCGTCCCGGCCACTGGGGGGGCGACATGGTACCACCGCACACCCCCGCGTCCACCAACGACCAAAGAAAGCAAGCCCTGCCTCTCGTGTGCGCGGGCAGAAGGCCTTGCTCGGCAGGGAATACCTCGACCGAGGCCCCTCGCCGCCGTACCAAAACAGGCAGGACACCCAGCTCGCGATGGGCCGTCCACGCCCCGGGGAAAACTACCCCCGAAAAGGCCCGGCTACATCCCCGGCCAAACCGGCCAGTCCCCTACACTACCGGTAACAAATTGTCGAGCTAAACACACCGAGCGAACACTTAGAAAATCTACAAGAAATGTCATACACATCAAAGGCATTCGAACAAATACGAAAAACGAGCATAAAACAACATGCAAACAACGAGCGCACACTTAGAAAATCCATGATAAATATATTTAACAAAAGCGGGCACCAGCCCAGTAGTCAATAGTACAAAAACGAGCACGCAGGCCCAAAGCAAAAGATAAACACCGGCACGCAGGCCACAAAACAACGAGCACGCAGGCCCGGCAACCTACACTTCCTCATCAGCTCGGTCAGCAGCCACGGTTTCCTCGTCGGGGATAACGAAATAAGGATCGATCACCCTTCCATCAACGATCTCGTGGTACGGCCCTATCCCGTCCACGACCAGCTCGACACCAGGGTTGGCGACCTGAATCTGCTCGACCGCATTCTTGAACCCGACCTCAACGGCTTCCAGACAATCGCTCTCCAACACCCGGATACGGGCGATCAAGTCAGCACGGGTGATTAAACGCCGATCCCCCTCAGTCTCGTCCTCGGCCGGACGAACAGCGCTGTCCAGAACCTCAGTACGGACCTTCAGCGCCTGCACCTCGGCCGTCGCCGTCCCCAGCTTCTCTTCCAGCGAACTCACCTTCCCCTCAGCACCCTCTGCTCGTTTCCGCTCCTCAGCAACGTCCTTCTGGCTCTTCTCCAACTCCTCGGTGAGCTTGGCCAACCGCGACTGCGTAAAGGTGAGATCCCCTTGCAGTTTGGACAGCTCAGCAGCAGAGCAGCCCTCCTCGTTCAGCACGAGAGCCGTCGTAAACGTCCGCATCATCGCGGCCAAGTCCTCAGCCAGGACACGCCGACGGGCCTCCCGATCAGCCTGGCGAACAGCCTTCACCTCCCCGGCGGAAACGGTGGGGGAACGGGCACCATGAAAATACCCCGGGTGCTGGTGGCAGGGAGGGACGACATAACCTTCCTCGACGGCGCCGACCGTCAGATCCACCACCCGAGGCTCCTCGGACCTCTGCCTCTTCGACACTCCTTGGGACACAGGGGATTGGCTCTCTTGAGGCGACGAGGACGAAGTTTGGCCCCCCTGCGTCGCGACCTCCTGACTGACCAGCTGACTCACCCTCGTCCTCGGGACCCCGGCACTCCTGGCAGCACGCAACTGCTTCACCCGCTCGTCGACAGTAGACATGCTCGCTGCAAAAACAAAGAAATAGGTTAGCGACGATCAAAAACCCCGACAACGAGGGAAAACGAAACATCCCTACCTAGATAATCTAGAGCGGCCGCCCCGGTCGCACAGCCGAGCAAAGTCTTAGTATTTATCAAACGCTTTTTAGTGCGTACGTTCCCCTGGGCATCGAGGATGTACCGACCGTCGGGCGTCACCAGCTTCGACGGGGGAAGTGACCGCACAAAGGCAATTATTTTCAGATAAGCGGCCATGTCCTTCTCCTCGAGGGTTCCCGCCCGGACGATATACCTATCCGTCCCTCGACTGAAATGCTCCGAGGTCCACAGCAGATGTATCTTGGGAAGCCACGCTCGGAACCACTGGCCATCTACCGTGCGCTCGCCCTCGTCAAAGAGAGTGTCCGAGCCGTGCTGCGTGATCGGCTTGACGAGGTAGAACCGACCCTTGAAGTCTTTGACAGAATCACTGTACGCTTTAAAAATTTTGGTCGATTGTTTGAAAGAGACCCATCCGTGACGACCTCGCACCGTCTGCCGCTGCAAATGAAAGATGCGAAAGAACAACGGCACCGTCGGCTCCACCGAGAGGTAGAAACACACCACCTCGAAAGCCCGGATGAAAGCCAGAGCGTTCGGGTGCAGCTGAGACGGGGCAAGACGCAGCCAGTCAAATATCCCCAGATGGAAGGCAGAGAACGGCAACCGGAGCCGAGCTTCTTTAAAATAAAATTCGTACATCGGGAACATCTTCCGCCCATAGCGCGAGCAGATCCGATGGTGCGCTTTCGGGCGATACACCTGCCAGTGTTGCGTTTCTCCTAGCGGCGTGTCCTCGACCGTGGCGTACACGTCGGACGGGTCGACCACAAAACAAGAAGGGATGGTAAGTGGCTCCTCGGCCGCCCACTCCTCGGGCAAGGAGACGCGCCCGTCGTCATACTCCGGGACCTCGGGTTCATCATCTTCAACCATTATCCCCGGCACCAGAGCCGACATCTACACCTGAAAGCAGAGGACCTCGGTGAATTCGATAGCCAGGATCAAATCCACCCTTCCACCGCAAGTCAAGTGAAAGGGCGACAAAGGCCGAGGGGCGGCGGGCAGGCATTCGCTCCCCGCCTACCCTCCTCGGGGATCGAAGAACGACCCCTCAGCCCTTCGGGGCGGCCGTCGGAGAAGATACTTCTCCCCGGGGCAGTCATCAGAAAAAGCCCCCGTCCTCGGGGCAGTCATCGAAGAAAAACCCCCGTCCTCGGGGCATTCATCAGAAAAAGCCCCCGTCCTCGGGGCATTCATCGGAGAAAAGCCCCCGTCCTCGGGGCATTCATCAGAAAAAGCTCCTGTCCCCGGGGCATTCATCGGAACTAGCCTACCGTCCCCGGGACATTCATCGGAAAACTCGCCAGACGCGGCGGAACTCGCATCCCTCCTCGGGGCGCCCATCGCGCCCCGACCACACGTCCCAGTCAGACGACGAAAATAAAAGAGAGGGAGAAGAGGAACTCACTTGTAACGGCGGCGGACGGAAGAAAAAGCGAATGGCACGGCGTTGATCGGCGGCGAACGGCGGACGGGCAGAGACGATGAAAGATCAACAGGGAGAAAAGTAGCAGAATGAGCGGGGACCGCCATATTTATAACCCGGCGCGAGGCTCGAAGCGACCCTAGGCTCATTAATGACACAGGTTAGCCGCCCCTACGACCGCTCAACGCAAGACACGTGGAAGCAGCCTGACAGTCGCGTCTCTCCATCTGCCTCCTCCCCGTTCTACCGACGACCGGAGCCCTTCGCACGAGTCCCCCGCTCCAGACATGACGACCTTAAGTCCTCGCTCTTCCCCAGAGCTTCGACTTGGGGGGCTCCTGTTCCGGTGTGGGCCTCACCTCGGCAGGCCCAATACCAAATACGGCCCAACAGGCGAACTGGGCACACCTGGCACACGCCCCTTCGGACGAGCAGGACCGTCCGCCGGGCACAAGCCATCACGCCGCACCCCCTTCGTCGCCCGTCACACCAGACGAGCGAGACTACCCGGGCTCCCTCCGCGGGAGAATAACGTGCTCGGCGCACGTTATCCATACGCTTCCCTCCGCGGGAGAATAATGTGCTCGGCGTACGTTCTCCACGTGCTCCCCTCCGCGGGGACACGTCATCGGCCAACCGCCCACCTCCGAAAGAGCAGGTCAAACCCACTTTCCGGAGACCTAGGAGCGGTTGAACTAGGGCGAAGACCACGTCCTGGTCTTCACTACGCCACGTAAGCCCTAGCAGTCATTAGGGTTGGGCCTGGTCGTCTGGCCCACCTCGAATGACCGTTGGCCCAGCGCTGGGGTCTCTCTATAAATACCCTCTTCTTCAAGAGGGTCAGGTAACTCTTCTTGCCCCCCTTTTCTGTACTATTGCTTCCTCTCTGTCCAACTTCTTACTTGGGCGTCGGAGTGCTTTGCAGGTACACCCCTTCCTCGTTCTTACCTCGGCGAACAGATAACCGTCCGGCGAAGCGTGGCCAGTCCGTGATCCCTCCTGATCAGGTCAGATCAAAATATAAATAATTATTTGTAATATTAGTATGAGAAACCCTTAAACAAAGTCTATTAAGTTTATTCTTCTCTATATCTAAGAAAGATTATTTCAACATTATGATTACAATATGTTCTATAATCTAGAATGTGTTTTTTAAGCAGTCAAATATTAAAATCCGAAAAATCATTTTTATCAAAACCAAAAAAAGAATCATTCAAAGGTTTTGCATAAGCCACTTTATTAAGCTAGCTATTCAAGATCGGAACTTTAACCCACACGGTAGCGCATATAGACATTATTGATGCTAAAGTTACCACTATACCATCATACAGTTTGCATGTAATTATATTTTTCTTACATATAATACTAAATTTGGCTTCATGAACAAGACAGGTGCCTAATGAGCACAGTTTGTCAAAATAAAGCTTCAAAGTACATCATGTCAACTGTCATATGGCATTATGCCAACTAAAATAAAATTGAAAACCCAGGTTGAATGAATTTCCAAATATGCACCCTATGCCAGAAGATACTGTGCAAATGTTTGCTATATTAACTAGCAGCGGAAGTAACCAAAATAATAGTCATAAAAAGTCGATACCTCTGCCTCCTATCATATGTTTTCATCAACAATATTGCGTCAATAATTCCGAAGTTTTGAGAAACCAAAATACCTTGCCACACTCCCACTTTATACTTAAACTATCATTGTTGCCTGAATATAAAGGAGTTTTCTTTCACAGAATTTTCATGAAACTGGCATCTCATATACTTTAGCTGTGCTTTGGTATCATCCTCAATTCCTTCTTTGCGTTTTTTAGTTCCATCAATGGTGGTTGTGTTCATTTTATCAACACCAGACAAACTCATGGCGTCCACAGTATCATGCATCTCTACATCACCACCAACAACTCTATCTATCACTGACACTCCGTGTATCAAATTTAAAAAGGGATGTTTGACCACTGGAAGTATACGCTCGCTTCTTGAAGTGAACAGGAAAGCCTTTGCACGATGCTTGGCAATTCCACAACCAAATATTGCCAATCCTTGTTCCTCAACAACTAGAAGCCATTCTGAATATCAAATGAAATCACTGATCAATACTTAAGCAGCAAAACAAAACAAAAAAACCTGGCAGTCAAAAGGAAAGAGACTAAGCAAATTGGGTGCAGGCACATTCAACTATACAGCATGCTCTACATTCTATTGAGATTGCTTTCAAGAATAGGTGGTTCAACCTTTGGCTTGAATGTGATTCTCAGCTTGAGTTTCAAGCATTTTTTAACTTGGCTATTGTTCCTCCAAAATTTCTCAATCAATAGAAATTTTTTGTCTATCTTACCAAGCTTACGAGCTTTAGAGTTTCTCAAATGCTTAAGGAAGGAAATGTTTGTGATGATAGGTTAGCTAGTGTTGGTCTAGCTAGTACTTCTTTTATTTGGGGAAATTTTTACCAATTTGTACTAATGAGACTTTTTTTACTAATTTGGTCCCTTCAAGTTTTTTCTGTATTTTCTTTCTTTGTTTTTTAATAAATTATCAGGGGTACTGCAAGTGAAGGATTCTGCCTTTGATGCCAACCTAGTTGTGATCACTGGTTTTGAACATTGATGCATTTTGCACTATCTCTTAAAAAAAAACTATACAGCTTGCTGAACTTTTTGAAAATATAAAAGCCCCATCCCGATCAAAGAGAAGTGAAAATATAACAAAAAATTAAAGGGGTAATTGGAGGAACTCACTTATAAGATCTATGGGAGTGGAAACACTTGGTCTGCCGATCTTTCTGTCTATTCCACTTTGACTAATAACCCAGTTGATCAATTGAATGGGAATGCAGGATTTACAGAAGGCAAGGATATAAGAAGTAGCTTTCCCATGATCACCATTTTCCCTGTGACCCAAGCAGATTATGAGACTTATTAGCTGAGACATTCAAGAAACCCGTTCATAATTCATCCTTCACAGCTACAATAGGGTTTTTTCATACCTAGCAGACTGTATAGCTAACTCAGCAACAAACAACCAATTAATTGCAAAATCTTTCAGGCCGTTGGCATACAGTGAAACTCCGGGTTGACGACTTATGAATGAATAATCCATCATCATCACAGAATTGTACAGGACTTCTTTTAAAAGAACTTCATTTTCAGAACCCTAGAGCAAAAAATAACCAGTAAGTTGCTGAATATAACAGCAAATTAGAAATGAGCAATAAAATGCATCATACGCTTCTTGAAGAGAAATGAAATAGGTCATTTCATAAACTTAAGAGCTCAAATTACCAACGAAAAAGGTTGCTCAGTATTGGAGTCATTGTTGAGAAGATTATGGCAATGAATAATCAATGAAGCTAAACCAAGTAGTAGCCCTTTTCAAAGACAATTTATGGTAACTATACATGAATAATTGATGAACTGAACAATTTCTCTGGAAAGGTTCAGATAAGTTTTAAAATTCCAAAATCTAAATCATAGTTTCCAACATCGCTAAACAGAATTAGCATTTAAACTTCTGGTCTTACCTCAAGTTCCACGCCATAGTCACCTGGGGCTGGTTCCCAATTCGCTATGGTACGTGGTACATGTTTGAGTACGCGGTACACAACTTTTGAAGTATTAGGTACTTGGGGGTATTACACAGTTGATATGTTGTTAGTAATATTTTAACTGGTATGCTATAATTGATTTTTTATAGTCTGCTTAAAAACAATAAAGTACATAGTAATAGTAATAATAGGATAATAAGAAAAGAACAGTCCCACATTTAACATTAGGACCACCCTGTAGTTTAATATTTCATTAGTCCCACATCAGATGTATCAAAACCAACAGAGAGGAGAATTACCTATAAAATAGCATTCAATGACTATGAACACAATCGTGGGATCCAATACCACTGCTTTAAAACAACAGGTGTTGATAAGCTTCTATTTCTTTATATTTGATCAAACAGTTTATGACTGGTTTTTGTGGGGGGTTTCCATGCTCTTACTCAAACCGGTTTTCTTAATTCTATGAGAATTAGGCATAAATTTTGGCGAACCATGAATTATGTGACTAGTGAGCCAACATATCTCCTCACCTGTTGTACTCTAATCTGTCAACAAAAATTATCTTTGGATCTTATCACCAGCTAACCTCTAATATAGTGTTTGGTAGGCAAGTGATACTTTTTTGTTCTATCTAAAAGGTTGGAAAAAAGGGATCAAAACAGGTTGATCTAACTCATTCATTCTGTTTGAAATTAGCCTTAACAAAACATAGTTTTTCTGAAAAAAAATAGGTGTTTTGTCTACAAATTTACAATACCTTCCAAATTATAATCAAGTAATGCTAAAGAAAAGAGATGGTATGATTGTACTGACCAGTAAGGAGATCACTGGTAAAACTGGCTCCAACATCATCCTGAAAAGGGTATCTGGTATGCACCAATAAGCAGTCAGGAAGTACATACACGAAAACTGTAATGAAGTCACCCCAAAAAGCACAAGGTTTCGACCAATGTCAAGCTGACAAATAATAAACAAATAAAGGTAAAATTTGAACTAAGAAAATTTACAATCTGTATGATCAGATTGACCCATACAAAGACAGGAGACAACTCTGAATGGATGGTTCATGCATGAAAATCAAAACCAACCGGAGTCCACACAAATATAAATAAACAATGAAAAATAAATTAGATAGTTGGCTGTGATTTGCTGAAATATCAAAGACTACAACTACCATATAAAACCTTGCTTGTAATTAATTAGTAATTAGTATGAGAAAAGTAAAGAGTTCTTACCCAAAAAGTAAAAATTACGAAACCCTGTCATGATCTGAGCTGCAGAAACCTGCAACTTCTTCTCCTTCTCCCCTCTCGTGATCCCGGCATCAAAAATCAAACACATTTTCAGCAAAAGAGCTTCAAACATGATAACCCCAGCCAAATAACCAACCTCGCAACCCATCTCAATTCCCTTTCGAATCTGATCACTAACAAAAGGGAAAAACTCCTTCAAACCACCACCAACCCCAAACTCACTCTCACAACCAATCATCCAAACCGGTAACAAATCCACAAAATCCTCTTCCAGAACCACTACCCCGTCACCTCCTCGAACCTCAACCTCGCTCTTCAAACAATAAATGCTACAATAACTAACAACCCCTTCCACCAAAACCTCAATTTCACTCTTCACTTCTTTCTCATAAACCCCCAAACGCCAAAGCTCAAAAACCAAAGGTGCGAGAACACCAATCCTCTTCATCGACACACATTCATCAGAACACGAAACCAGCAACTGAAACAAACCCTTAACCGCGTCCACCGAAGCTATAGAAGTTCCAGAACGTTCTTTCCCCACTCCCAACCTATAAGCGTGAAATTCGAGAGCTGTATAAAACCATACAACTGGAATTGGAGGGTCTGGTGTGCTATGAAGCGTGCGGGAAAAGATTGAACTGAAGTCGCTGAAATTGGTAGTGCCTTTTCGGTATTCAGTTAGGAAACGGTCGATTGATTCTTTGAGCATTGGTTGGTAGTGAGGTGGAAGTTGTTTCAACTGGTTTTGGTTCATTTCCGGTTGCAGAGTCACGGGAAAATTTGAGTAGTGTAGGGCGAGAGAGAGAGAGAGAGAGAGAAACCCTAGGTTTTTGGGAGTGGTTGTGAATGGAGCAAGTACAATGAAACGAGAGGGAAGGAATATGCACTTTTTATAACGGCCAACTTTTTTTGAATTTGGTGCTTTTTTTTCTTCCTTTTTCAAAAAAAAATATTTAAAGAGGAAGAAATATTAATTGCACGCCGCATATATCACTTTTATCTTTTAACGACTTTTCTTTTTTCTTTTCAATAATCATGTTTCAACAAAATTATTCAATAACAGTTTCTATTTTTTAAAAATATTCGTATTTCAAATAAAAAAATTATACGTATAAGTTATTTGAATTGGTGCATGCATTAGACAAATTAAAAATCAACTAAATTGAGCTATGTTAGGACAAAATTCAAATGCTAGTGCGCCGAACAAGGATGAAGAGGATCTCAAAGTTAAAAATACTAAAAAAGTCAAAGAGAATGAAGAGAAAGGAACAGTGGAAGGGCGTGAGGAGTTCCATAGGATTTCGAATGAAGGTTCACGAAAAGTATCATACAAAGCAATGATATTAGGGAATATGAAAATTTTGAGGTTGATAGTGAGGAGGGAGTGCAAAAGAAGATATGGAAATGACAGTGCTATATTTGGAGAACGTGAAGATTGAAGAACATATGGAGGGGAAATATGTGTGCCCGAAATTCATAATTTCCAAACATGAGGAAAAAAGAATATATAGACCATGGAGGAGGGGGTGATAGTGAAATTGCTTGGAAGGAGAATTGGTTACAAAGCCTTGGAAATAAGACTAAAACAAATGTGGGTAAAAATGGGAGCGATCAACATCATAGATCTAAGAAATGACTATTTCCTTGTCATTTTTCCATGATGATGACCATAATCTGGCGCTGGCTAATGGACATCGGTTCATATACGACCATTACTTAACAATGAAAAAATGGAGTCTGGATTTTCACCCGGGGAGTGACACAATTGAAAATGTGGCAGTATGAGTAAGGATTGGTGGCCTTCCTATTGAGTATTATGATACAAAGATCTTTTCGTTTGTAGAAAACAGGACTAGCAAAATAGTTAAGGTGGATAAGAACACACTCTCGCATGAAAGAGGGGGAGTAAGTGAGACTGTGTGTAGAAGCAAACCTTAATAATCCTCTTATGACTACGTTTACAATAAAAGAAAGGAAGTACGAATATGATGCATGAAAATTGGGAGACGAATGAACCAAATAGCCCTCGACCCCCAGATGGAATGCATAGGGAAGGGGATGTCCTTAGTATCCCAAAAAACACAATAGAAGTTGGTAATAAGGCTAATACACAGAAGAAGATAACCATGGAGTGTACGGTTGATTCACACGTGTAGCTTTTTGTGGACATTTTTTCACCATCTTGCATTTGCTTAAAGATGATTATACAACATAATATTTTTATCTAGAACTGCAAAGAAGCAGCCAACAAGGGATTCTTCAGATATTGTAAGCAGTATGTCAGCACCAATAAGCCCATAATTGTTGTTATTGTCAAAACTAGATGTGACCCTTAAAAACTTCAAAAATCTTTGGCCAAAATGGGGTTTGATGGTTTTTGTGCAAATGATAACCAAAGGTTCACTGGTGGAATTACAGTTGTTTGGATGGACGCAGACTTGAAGAATGTTATGGTTGATAAAAAGTTTCAGTTTATTCATTGTATAGTGCAACCTAGACAAGGATCAAATTGGTTTTTTACCCCCGTATATGCTAGTCCTAATGCTGATAATAGAAGGGTATTATAGATTGATCTTCGTGATATTAATATTAGCATGAAAAAGCCTTCGCTTGTGGCAGGTGACTTGAATGGCGTTGCTTTTGTCCATGAGAAAAAAGGCGGAACTCCCATTTGCCAAAATAAATGCAAGAACTTTAGAGAACATATCAACAATTGTGGCTTGATTGATATGGGAGTTGTGGGGTCTAGGTTCACTTTGAAGGGACTTATCTTTAATGGTTGACAACGAATTTGTGAGAAACTTGACGAGCCCTTTGCAATGAGAGATGGATAATTCATTTTAAGGATGGTTTTGTCAAAGTCCTCCCTCGGCTAGAATTTTTAGATCATCATCCTATCCTTACATGCCCTCAAGGAAATATCAGGAAGTATGTCCAGCCTTGCTTCAGATTTGAGAATGTGTAGCTTGTAGAAAATTCCTATCATCATATGGTTGAAGCTTATTGGAAGAAAAACTTGCCTTTAACCAATATTCTTATTAATGTGATTGAGGGAGAAAAGTCGTGGAAGATGTCCACTTTTTCCGAAGTCACAAGGAGGAAGAGAGAGGTCATGAGAAGGTTTAAATAGATTTAAAAATGTTTGCAAAGAAGTAGGAATATTGGTGGCTTGCGTAGTATAGAAGAAAAGCTTTAACAAGAAATTAATGAGTTGTTAAAGAAAGAAGAGTTGATGTGGTTCCAAAGATTAAGGTCCAAATGGCTTACTAATAGCGATTGCAACACCAAGTATTGCCATATTAAAACGGTCCAACGCCAAAGGAAGAACAAGATTGTGATAATTAAGGATGATGGTGGTCAGTGGGTTGAAAAGGAAAATAAAATTTGTCAGATGTTCATTGATCACTATAAAAAGCTTTTTAAATTGAAGAAAATAGGCCAGCCTTGGGAGCAAAAAAAACTCACACTCCCAAATATCTATCAAAATAAGATTGCTAAACTTGGAGTTAGCATTACTAAGGAGGAAATTAAACATGCATTATTTCATATAGCTCTATGGAAAGCGTCAGGACCAGACAGTTTTCTTGTCGGTTTCTATCAAAAATCTTGGAACATTGATGGAAGTATTGTTTGCAACTATATTAATGATGTACGGGAAAGACCTAGAAGGTTGGTTGATACACTAGTGCAGAAATGACTTTTTACATCTGGCGAAAATGACATTTTACATCGGGTCTGGGTCCGGTGTAAAGTCAGGCGATGTAGTAAATCAAAGATATTTTACATCGAATTTTGGCCCGATGTAAGAAATACACCAAGCACATCGGTTAAATTTTTAAGTCTGATGTGAAAAAAAAATATAAATGTAAATTTTAATTATAAAAGGGTGTGTTTACATCGGTTGTAAGGCAAAATCGATGTAAAAGGTAGACTTTTTACATCGGTTGCATGGTTAACCTGATGTAAAAAGTAATGTAGTAAACAAAAAATAAATGTCAAACACGCGCCTAGGTAGACTTTTAACATCGGTTCTCTTGTTTGACCGATTTGAAAAGTCCTAGGTGATACTTTTAACATCGGTTATGTGGTTAACCCGATGCGAAATGTACTGTTACGAGTATAAATTATTTGCCTATTTTTTAGTTGTCCCTGTAACTTTTTTTGTACCTAATTTTTCATATTTTTCCAACATCACACAGACCATAATTAGGTTGCTATTTTCCATAGTTTCCCAACATCATATAGACCACATTTAGGTCGTTATTTTCATAGTTTTCCAACATCACATAGACCATATTTAGGTCGTTATTTTCATATTTTTCTCACAAATATAATTTTATTTCACCAAATATCTAGTATACACATAATTGATTTATAAAAGTACTGATATAGGATATACACAAATGCACTAAATTATAAGGAGGTTTACACAATGGAACAACAACAAAAAGCTTAACCTTTATATAACTCAAAGAAACATGTTGTCCAACAGAGTCACAAATCATACAAATCATCTTTTTTTTTCCGGAACAACCAAAAAACAAATTTATTGAAAAAATATCGTTTAAACTTAAAAGTCACATTTTATTTTCAAGTAGAATCATTTCTAAAAAAACATAGTCAATTATACTCTAAAACAACCAAACATGTTCAAATCAATTATGCACATCCAAAATCAAATTCTAGATGCTCCAAGCGTGAAAACAAACATATTCTAAAATACATTGGACAAAACTAGAATTCATCAATCTCACAAATTCACCACCAAAAGAGAATCAATCTCAAAAAAACAAACAACCATAAATCACTATAAAAAACTCACTTACTTGTTACCATTAATCTTGAACCAAGTCTCAGCACAATGTTTATGCACAACAGCCAAACAAATATATGCAAGGTGACGGAATCGGTGACGGAATGACGGAGGAGGTAACATAATTGGTTAGGGAACGCACGGAAGGAGGGAGGTTTCGTCGTGGGCGAATGGTCAGCGGCGGAGCGAAGAACGTCGTGGGCGTGCGAATGGTTGTGGGGCAGAGGCAGGGACGTCGTGGGCGACGGTCGTGAGGCGGAGGGGTGACGACTTCTTCAGCGGCGGAGGGAGAAATGATTTTAGGGTTTGAAAGGAATGCTTGAAATGTTGGTGAACGAAACCTTTTTTTGGGTTTATGGGGTTTTTTTTTAATCGGTTGAAACTGAAACCGATTTAATAGGGGGTTTTTTAAATCGGTGGAAAACATAACCGATTTAAAATCCATATTTTAATTTTTTTTGGGTTTAGGGGTTTTTTTTAAATCGGTTGAAACTGAAATCGATTTAATAGGGGTTTTTTTACATCGGTGGAAAACATAACCGATTTAAAATCCATTTTTTAAATTTTTTTTAATATTACTTTTTAAATCGGTTGGAACCAAAACCTATTTAAAATCCCATATAATATATTTTTTTAATATCACTTTTTAAAACGGTTGGAAGCATAACCGATTTAAAAACCCATTTATTAATTTATTTTGTAAACTTTTTAAATAGGTGGATCTCATAACCGATGTAAAATCCATTATTTAATTTTTTTTAATTATTTACGATACTGCCACCGTGTATATAATTTACAAACCCTAACTTTTTTACATCGGTGGAATAATTGATCCGATGTAAAAGTTCTAATAAAATTTTGTTTATTATTTATGATACTGCCACCGTGTTTATAATTTCATATTTTACATCGCTTCGAGTGAATACCCGATGTAAAATCAT